TGTCCGGCGAGGGGCGGGCGGCGCGGCCGGGGCTGCCTGGCTCCGCTCGCTGATTTCCCCTTCCCGCAGGGCCGTCCTGAAGAGAGCCTCGGCCCTGGAGTATAAGATACAGCGGAGAGCGCTTCGGAAGGAGGATTTCATCAATTATATTCAGGTAGGCTTTCCTGATGAGCAGAGCGTGCTGCCTCGCGTTGTGGGGCCAGCTCGGTGAGAAGTGCTGTGACTCTGTAGTGACCCACGTAGGGAACCGGCTGCTTCTGAGCCCTCTCCTCCCCCGGCCTGAGGCGTTCAGTCCTGAGGGGATTCTCGGCACACAACACACCGGAGCGTGCAGCACGGCCGGGAGCTGCTGCCTGAGTTTGGGATGAGAGAGTCTTCTTTCTTGCTGTGACTTTTTCCTGTAGTTCCTTCTCTACCCAGGGATGCAGAGCCCCCAGTTCCTTGCTGTGCTGTGCAAATTGTAGTTAAGTTTAGTTAATTTTTTGTTGTGTTGGAAGTTTGGCTTGTGCATTACAATTCTAAGAATATGTGGGCTGCTAACAGCTCAAGTCTGAAATACCATGTGCAGTAGTGCTCAAGCTTGATTTCAGTGAACCTTAGAAGGGTAGTGATCTGGCTGAAAAATTGTTGCTTATGTTTTCCTGGATATAATTTTAATTGTCCACCTGATTAGCTGAAAAAGCCCCACACTTGCTCTGCATTTTTTTTTCTGTACTGTCAAGTGTCTCCTCGTTTGTTTTTAACTTTTTGTTTTTGTTCTCTTTTCAGTATGAAATTAATTTGCTGGAACTGATCAAGAAGAGAAGAGCAGTAAGTTTGTCAATTATTTAGACCGCAAAATACTGTGTGCCAAATTTTCTATTGCAATAAAGTTAATACTTTTCATTTTCCTCCTAGCGCATTGGATATTCGTTTAAGAAGGATGAAATTGAGAACTCTATTCTGCATAGAGTCCACAGCCTCTTCAAACGTGCTATAGGAAAATGGAAGGTAAGTTTGCTTATTTGTACTGGTAAGTTGAAAATTGCCCTTTTGGTATGTGAAATTTATCTAGTTATCACTGCCACCAAATACTGGCAATAATATGGAAGAATGTAATAGAAAAACTAAGTGAATGTTTGGTCTTACAGTTAACAGTAGCATAGAAATAAAACATGACGTGCAGAGCATGGTGTGTTAGAGATGTTCTTTGTATACAAACAGCATTCTGTCCTTTCTGAGTCATTAGTCCTCAACTATCTTGAAGTAAATATTGCTCTATGAGTTTCGTCTTTTGGCTTGCAATGACTAGAAATAGAATGAAAAGTAACATTCAGCTGGTTTAGGAAAAGATTGTCTTGATGCATTTAATGGTAATACCTAAACAAGGTGCCTAAGGAACCATGACAGTGAGCTCTCTGCTGAGTTCAGTGTAACACAGATTTGGTTGGTGAGACTGTGAGGGTGTGTCTTGAGATTGGAGGGTTGGTTTTCTTTGGGTGTTTTGCAGATATTTGAATACTGGGGGGGGGATTTGAGATTCAAAATCCCTTCTCTCTGCATGCCAAGTTATCATGCCAAGGGTGTGTTGTTTGCTTGTCAACATGCAAATGATTTTGTGCTTGGCTTGTTGTAAGGTTGATTCTGTTCCCCTTGTATTTCCAACAGGATGATATCCAGCTTTGGCTTTCACATGTTGCATTTTGCAAGCAATGGGTGAGTTTTCAAAATGTTAATTTTATCTGAGTTGAGATACTGGATTAGTGTTTAATCAGGCACCTGGAACTTGAATTGCAAGACAGGGTTACAAACTTCACTGCCACATGCTGTATTACTGAAATAATTTTAATAGTATTGTTGGAGCTCTCTGAGATTTACACTGATGTGGGTAAGTGTAGAATTGGAACTTAGAATGAAGTAGTGTAAAATTTGATGCTTGTAGGTGGCAAATTGAGGCTGGTTGCTTTGAAACTGAAGTGCCATTTGATTTGAGAGAATCATAATATTCGTTATACGTTCTCTGGAAAGAATCAATCACCTGACTGTGAACTGAGATTTTGTTCCAAACGTTTCTTATAGTGGCTATGCCAAAAAGTGTAATTCTGGCAGTTCTGGACTTTGTAAACTTACCTGTGCAAATCTTCATATTGTTATTAGCTTTCAGTTGTTGTTTTTCATGTACTGCAGAAGGTGTCCTTGTCATAGTAATGCAAGTGGCCAAAGAAAAATGCAGTCTTTACCTCAGAAGTGGTCAGTGAGACTATGGGTTTGTGACTTAGGCAAGATTTGTGTTAGCTGTGTACTTCAGAAAGGTTTGAGTTAACTGTGTTAATCTAGTCAGGTAACATTTGAAAGGCGGTCAGTATTGAACAAATATTAGAAACTTTCTTCTGAAGATAAAGTAGTAGAGAAGTGTCTTTTCCAGTACAATTGCATTGCAGCTTGTAATCTTTCATAATGAAACTTTGGTGCTGGTGGTTCAATTCGGTACTAGAGTGGGTAAAACAAAACTCTTTTTTTACAGAATGCGAAACATCAGCTTAGTAAGGTGTTTTCCTCCATGTTGGCCATTCATCCCAACAAACCAGGTAAATAAAACAATGGTGTGCTGCATAAATGACTCGGTGTAGATTGTATAGTGTTGGTTTAGGTTCTTACAGATCTGAGTTAGAGCTATATTTGCTTTTTGGCTTTTAAAGACATCATTGTATGTTATTGGACCTGTAGCTATACCAGATTAAACTTCCTAGATCTGCTTAGCTGCTTAGATCTGTCCTTTAACTCGGTTTTACGTGGGAGATAATCAGTCTTACTCTGTTGCTGAGCTCCTGGATTATGTTGGGGTGGGTACAGAGAACAAAACCAACGTGTGCACCCTGAAGAGTAGCTTCAAAATGGGTTCACGTGACCAGCCACTCGCTTTGCCTTAAAATGAATTTATTTGTGTCATCTGTTGCAGCACTGTGGATTATGGCAGCAAAGTGGGAAATGGAGACAAGACTCTCGTCAGAAAGTGCGCGGCACTTGTTCCTTCGTGCTTTGCGCTTCCATCCAGAGTGCGCAAAACTTTACCAAGAAGTGAGTTCCTGGTTTTCTTCTATGACCAGATATTTGATCAATCAGAGCAAGTCAGTCCAGATCAGTCTGAGAAAACTGGAAATAACTTGTTTCCCAATCAGCGAGGAAATGTTGTCCAAAGGATTTAAGAAAAAGATACTTTATACTCGTAGCATTTTTAATTTTTTAGCAAATAGCATATTTATGTATGCAAAGTGAGGGTTTTTCACTGTTTATAGATAAATGTGTCAGAATTCCCTTCTAAAGTACTGTAAGCTCTGTTAGGACATGGTTCTTTGGATTAGATCCAACATCCCTAGCCTTTGCTAGGGAAATAGTTGTCTTTGAGGACAAGTGAAGGTTTAAAGAATGACTAGAAAGCAGTAATTTCTACATGTGGAAGATTTCTGGAGTAAATATGTAGGGCAGATAGCTATATGGACAAACATTTAAAAGCCAAGGCTCTCATGTAGATGTGGGATGTTGGCAAAGTCCTAATTTGTAGCTCCTCAGGGTAGAGCTTGTGTTAATACGTTTGTGGGCTTAGATGTTTTACAATTTCTCCCCACCCCCACAGTGATTTCATTTTATTTTCTCTTGCAGTATTTCAGAATGGAGCTGATGAATGCTGAAAAACAGAGGAAGGAAAAGAAGGAATTTGAACGAGCAAAGATGGACTTGGTACGTCCGCAAAACTTACTTAAAAGACACTGTCTGCTTGCGTATCTGAGTGCACGGTTTCAAGGGATCTGTATCAATGGTTTGTTTGAGAGCAGCTTAGAGAAAGCTTTTGTTCTGTGTTAAGCTTTCCAAGTGTTGGCTGATGCTCGGCTCAAATACTTCATACATTTATTTTCTTTACGTTTGTAAAGTCATTTGTGACATCCCTGAGTTTGAAAGTTAACCGTAATTTCTTGAAAGGAGTAGTTAAACTTACTGTTTCATATTTCTTTATAGTTGACTTATCCAAATTGGATAAACATAAGAGTTAGATGGAACAAAATTAATATCTTCTGATTTTTTTTGCATGTTTGCAAAAATGGTAGCTAAGAAAGGGAAGCAATTTTTTCAATGATGTTATGCTTGATATTGCAGGGGGAATTCAATTACTCTGAAGAGATTCTCAATGGGGAAATGGCTCGCATAATCTACAGGGATGCTGCTCAGAAAATTAAAGGTGATTTAACATTTCTTGTACTTAATAGGAAAATTCTCACCTTTAACCCAGCTATCCAGTAGGTAATACAGATGGCCTTATCTCTAATGCACACATTGAGATATTTTCAACTACACTGTTTCTTCATCAAAACTTAGATAATGCTGAATTATAAATTGATAATGATGATAGTTCTTATTTCATAACTGTTCTGCAGTCAGACACCTCTTCTGGTACAACAGCTTTTGGGCTGAAGTGGCACAGGTGCTAGCTTACAGTCTCAAAACTTGCTTGTTCACAAAGCTGGAAGGATATAATTCATTGATGTTACTGTGTGCAGCTTTGGAGAGAGAGGTCTGTCCCAATCATGGAGCTTTCTGTGTTTTCATGGCAGAGTTAAGTGAAGGAGCAGAGGAGGTTGCTGATTAAATTTGCAAGTGGAACTAAGCTAGAAGGATGTGTAAATGTGTCAGGACAGGACTAGTTTATCACTGTGGAGACTGCAATGTCCTGCCTCTTATGGCCTTTTTTAAATGAAGTAATGAAGAATATAGTCAGGGAATCAACATCCTAACATATGGTTTCTCATATGGGTGGAACACTGAGATTTATAGAAAAGAAAAGGGTATCTGTCCAGGCACTTAAATGTTGCCATGATCTTGACAAAAGCTTGCAAAGATACAGAAATACAAAGTGTACAATGCATATAATACTCCACTTAATAGGTTTGGTTTTTTTTCTCCCCTTGAAATGTAGGTGTTGAGTTCCATCTGGCTGTGCTTTCTATTGCAAAGCTCTTTGATTTTACCCAAGATTTGCAAAAAGAAATTCTTGAAAGGTGAGGTGTGGCTTTGTGTTGTGGTTTTGGTGGTTTGTGGAGATTTTTGTTTGTTTTCCTGGGAATTCTGGAAGTGTTTTTTCTCTGGCATTTTGTTACTTAGAAATTACGTACATTTCTATACCAATATAACACCACTTCCAAACATACTGGCAAGAGAAGAATGGCGGTTGGGGGTTATTACAGACATGGTGTGCTTAGTTTGCAGACCAAGTTTGCTGATGATCCTCTTACCTGGGACTACATGGCCCGTCGTGAGCTGGAGCTGGGGTCGCCGCAGTCCACGGAACACACCACAAAACAGATGAAAGTATCTGAAATGACCCAGAGAGAGGAGCGGTGCTCTGCAGTCTTTGAAGAGGCTGTGAGAGCAGTCCCAACAGGTGAAAAGTTCCGCCTGCATTTAAGCATTGTTTTTTCCTGGTACTTTAGCATTCTGTATACTGTGGAAGTTTTGAAGTAGGTGTTGGCCTGCTCCACCATACGTAAGAGAAGGCAAGCAGTTTTTAGATGCTGCCTTTTGAGGATTGTTTTTATGTGCTATTTGGGTTATTTTCCAATACATTTACGCTCTCAAAGGAACTGCTTAACTGAAAGTGCTTTTTGTTGCTTGTTTACTTTTATTAATGTGACTTAACCAATGAGGAGAACAGAAGCCCACAGATGAATAGAGAGGCTTGGCAATTGTAAATAAAGGAAAATTCCTAAATAAAGGAAACCTGTAGAACTGAAGTATATTGCTGGTTAGCTGTGAGTAAGCAATGTTCTTGAGTTGCCAGTGGAATGGGTATCCACCTTCAACATCTGGCAATTGTCCTTACTCTCAAAGGAGGCTATCAAGGGGCTATCTGTGAGAGGACTCAAACTTGCTGGGTTTATAGCCTTTGAAGTCAGGCAGACAGAAGGATTTTCTTGACTGGGCTGTGGGTGTCTTCACCTTTGGCAGGCCCGTTGAAAACTACAGGCAAAGGGTGCAGTGAATGGTAATTGTGACTGTGTGTGCTGAAGCCTCAGCTGAACCAAGAGTGTGATGCTCTTTCGAAAGAGTTACTGGCTGCAGCTTATATCAGGAAGCCATTTTTAAAGATTAATGTTATAAATGGGGGGGCTCTTTTATAGTACAACCTTTTCAAACAAGGTTGGCATTAACACTTATTGCTTGGGTTCTCTGTATTCCTTAAGGACAAATATTTGTGCAATTTTGTGATTCTATAAAGTGTGATGCTGTCCCTTTGATTCTACAGAGGACATGTGGAAATACTACATCACTTTTTGCTTAGAGAGGTATAACAGGAAAACCAACAGTGACGGATTAAAGCAAAAGGTAAAAGCTTATTAACAAATAAGTAACAAGTTACAAATCATCCCTATCTTTACTGACTTCTGTAACCCATCAGACAAGAGGCAAATATGTTTTGTCATTTTATTAGATATACTTACCTGCAGCTATCATTAAAAATCCTTTAGTCTCCATCTGAGGGGATCACTTTTACTGTCAGGCTCATGTAGGGCCTGCCTGAACATGAATAACTTGGGGGTAAACCTTGGGCCTTGTCAGTAAAATAGAGTGACCTCTTTGGATGGAAGTTACGAGTACAAAATTTGTAATGTTCGCTGACAGTCCTGCAAACCTGTGCTCGTTCAAAGAAAAGGGTGAATTAAAATAACTCTTGCAAATAAGTCTGAGCAAAGTTTGGTGCTGGCATGTGGGGACTTAATTATGCATCTGTGTTCAGGTATGACTCGGTGAATTAACTCATCATCCTGTGTAGGTTGGTTCCCTTTTAATACAGTAAAAGAATATTGCTATGTTGTTCTTTTGCCCCTTAAAGAAGAGATGTAATTCAGATGCTCAGATTTCCCCTTTGTCTTGGAATGTATGCAGGTACCTAAAGATACATAACTCTTACTGAATTTTAGTGACATGTTGATACACTAATCCACTGGACTTCTTGTAATGCTGGGATCTGGTATTTGCAGGGATAATGCTTGTTTTCTTTTTCTTCTCTGTTGGTTTTAGAGGCTGGAGAGGACACTAAGTGTGTTCAGCAAAGCTCATGAGTCCAGTTTGCTGCCAGAAGCTCTCTATAAGCAGTGGGTAAGAGCTGACATGGAAAAATAGATTGAGAGTCTGTCCTGCGTTGCTTGTCTTTACTCTTTTGAGTAGATAGAAATGTGGGCAATAATGTGTTCAAAGCCTTGCTTTTTAAAAAGGTATTTTGCTGATTGTGGTGATTTGCTGTGTCTGCTTGGTTTTTAGCTTCAACTATTACTGGAATCCAACCTCTTTGAGAAGGCTGTGGAGGTGGCAGAAGCTGCAACAAAGCGCTTCAGCCTGTCAGTGGAAATGTGGCAGATGAGGCTGCAGGTGCTGATCCAACTGAAGAGTGACGACGTGACCCAGTGTTTTGAAGAAGCTATTAAGCATATAAAATCCAAGGTCTGTTGCATGCATTTTTGCACAGAGATTTGCATGCATTAATCTTAGACAGGAAACCTCTGATATTTATTTGAGTGGTTTTTTTTCCTTTACAAGGCATTCAGAATCCCTAACCACATTTAAGGTCAGAAGTAAGAAGTTGACATTTCACACGCACATTGCATTCGGGAGCATGAGGGAATTGCAAATTCACTTCATATTCACAGTTTTAAAGTCGGAGTGCTCACTGGTGACATTTTTCATACTCTTCTAGCAGTCAGCTGGTACTCTGTGTCTTAACTGAAAATGCATTTCTTTTTCTTCATTCTCCTGATACATTGTTTGTGTGTGCGGTATTTCAAGCTGTGAATTAGCCACGTGTTCTCTTACTGTTCCTTTTCAAACCCCGGGCACAAGGAGTGAGGAGAGGAAACAAGGAGGTGATTGTTTCCTTCCTCCTTGTTCTCAAAAGTTACCTTTGTACTACAGTGTTTGGTGATGCAGAAGAACTTGTGTCTCATCCCTGGCATCATGTCTTGCACTTGTCCAGCTGGGTAGTATTTATCCTGTAAGCGAGGAAGGAAACAGCAAGTAATTTCAGTGTGCAGTCTGAAGTTGCCTTTCTAAGAGCTATGTCTAGAGGACACTTCTTATGACAGCTGTAATACAGAACCTGGTGGATGTGTTACTGTCTGTTTCTGTAAATCAGGGTATTTCAATGCTGTGATTTATCTGCTTACCCTGTAGAGCACTTTGCCATTATGGACCCTCTGGGTGGAATGGAGTGAAGGCGCGAAGAGCAAGGAAGACACGGAAACCCTTTACCAGGTACTTAGCTAATAGAAATCTACTTTTTATGACAGTGCGTAAATAAATGGGAACAATGTGTGCAGGTGGAACATGTAACAAATGCTTTATACTGCAGGTACTTCGTGGATGCGTTGGTATCAAAGAATTTAAAGTAAAACTGTGCATATTATCAAAAATCAATTGGCTTAGAAGCAGAAATGCCATCCCCGTGATTCTAAGACATTTAGATATTTGTAAGCACAACCAATGATGGACTCTTACTTTTCTTTTATGTTGTGGGCTAGAAGTTTTGCGCTATTTTCAGATGTCTGAACATGCAGAAGAGAATTTTCCAATCTGTGTGCAAACATCAGCCTTGTTACAGAAAACTCGAGCAAAACTGGGACTTTAATCTCACTGTAAATTCCCTGAATAGCTTAGGGCAAAACATTGCCTCTTTGCCTGGCATGTTGGTTGTTGTCCCCCCTCTCCCCCATTTACAACATAAAACACGTATTTCAGGTGGAAGCTTGAATTCAGTTGTTTGTAGAGTGTTGTGAAACCCTCAGCATGAAGGATGTTAGGGAAATGCCAATTGCCAGCTGTATGGAATGTTGGATGAGATGTATTGTGGGTTACAAGTAATGTTTTCATTTGAAAATCCTGAAATTTGAAAATTTCAGACATCATTTGGGATGCTTTTGTCCAGTACTTTGTCTCACTTAAAAGATCTGCTTTATGCCAGATGCCTAATTAGGGAGAAGGTACTAGTTGGTTTGTTCTCCCTTGCTGCCTTTTACTTGTAGCTTATATGGTTGGTTTGGTTTTTGCTTTTTTTTTTTTTTCTTTTAAACTTGCAGAGATCCTTATGTGCCACAACTCACGCTGAATCTGTGACTATGAAAGAAAAGTATCTTGACTGGACATACAGAAATGGTGGCTATAAGAAAGTTAGAAGAGTCTTTAACAGGTGACAAACAAAACCTTCAAATGAAGTTGTTCTAGGGCATGTGTTAAAAGGCTTTATGTGTAATGTTACTTAACGTTTTTCCTTCAGCCTGTGTGAAAATCGTCCATTTTCACTTGACTTCTTCAGGAAGATGATCCAAATCGAAAAGGAGCAAGTAAGTTGTTGAATATCCAATTAGTGGCTTTTATTTTAAAAATACACTTCTAACTTTGGATTTAAGTAGGAACTAGAGGGCATATGAGTAATGTCATTAGTTTGTGATCAGTTCATATTTGTCTTCTACAGTTAATTCATAGCATGTAACACAAAACCAAGTTCCATGGTAACTAATCTTTGGCAGTGTGCGTGTGTGCGTGTAATTACCATGACTCTCTTTCTTTGTAAGAATCTAATCAAGCTGCAGATTCACTTCTGTACAAAATAAATGGCCTTTTAATACCTTCCTTTGTTAGGAATCCTGCAAAATGCTTCATCTGAGAGAATACTATGAACGTGCCTTGAGAGAATTTGGCTCAACGGATTCTGGTAAGGAGATTTTATTTATTTATTTATTCATTCATTCAGTGCTGCCTCGTTTATTTCCATCCATTTCAAAAGGTAGCCGTTTTTTCTGCCCTCGTGATTGCTGTCATGCAGTGTGGAGCTTATTTCTTCTGTGCCTTTAAGTGTGTGACACTGCAGCAGCCCTTCACTTTCAGTTCGGGGTGGCTGGTCACAGTGGGATGGCTTTAGCAGAACTACTAGCAAATAAGGTTTTGACACTGGCTGCTACAAGAGATGCCCATCGCTTTTAATTTGGATTTGTGAACTCTGTGGAGCTCTGGGGTGTGTTTTGTTTTTTTTCTTTTAACCAAGAGTTCTGCAGTATTCCTTTTAAGAAAGTAAACAGCTCAATTATTGCTGCAATATTTCTTAAAACATCACTGTTCCAGCTGGGAATGGAACCCAGGCTTTTGGTCCTCAAGGGGCAGGTGATTGTAGTTTCACAAAGTAAATCTCATCGTGTCAACATCAAGGACACCTGCAAAAAGAGGGTTTCTAGGTTAGGTTTGGTAAGTTTGTTAAGTAATATCCAATCAAAACCTAACCAAGCTTGTATTTTTATTTTAAAGATCTCTGGCTAGATTATATCAAAGAGGAGCTAAGTCACCCCCAGGGCAAACCAGAAAACTGTGGGAGCATTCACTGGCGAGCTATGAAGATGCTGCAGGGAGACCTGGTGGAAGATTTTGTTTCTAAATACACTTTATTGCAAACTGGACATTTATGAAAAACTATAAATATTTACAACGTGACTGTGGATTTTTTTACTTTGTACAAAGGTAAATGTCTGCTCAGATCATATTAAAGTGTACCTTCTTTACATTCTTGCATTTGTGTAAAGAAAAAAAAAAAGCCCTCTGGTCAATTGCACTTGTTTCTGGTATTGCTTCTGCCACAGACAAGTGCACAGTTAAAGGAGAAAACAAAGGTGTCTCTGAGCATGTCTTTCTTTGAGACTTGTGAGAGCAAACTTGTCCTCCTGCCTAAACATTCAGATGGAATAGTCACAACGTATCAGCTTTTACACTCTGGAAAGCTCATATGCAAAAAACCCAAGGAACCTACACCTGCAGGCAATGTTCCTGTCTTACCAAGTTGAATAATGAAAAGTGGAACACTGGAGAAACAATTTGTAAAATGGTGGTATTTATTGTTTCCTAGCCTTGAAGTCACCTGTGAGCCTCTCTTCAAAAACAAAACCAACATCTGCAACCACCTTGCATTAGTGTTTGTCCCCTAAGCTGTAATTCTGAGAATGACTATTGGAGGTAGAGGGGAGCTGAGCTCTGTTACAAATGTCCCTGATGTGACAGTAGAAGGTTCTGATCTATGCTTCAACTTTCTATGCACAATGCCTGAAAAACGGGAAGTGGTTTTTTTGAGACAGTGCTGTTTGCAGAGCCACATTTTCCCATGTCAAACTCATTAAATCTGCGTAAATGGTATCCTTAGACTGATCCAGCATGCCTAGGGGAAATATAGGAACGTTCAGCAATAGTTCTTTTATCTAATTTTCCAGTGACTTGATGACATAATGACAATACAGGGAAGTATTTCTTTAAGATTCTTCACACAAGTAGAAACTGCAGCTCCTATTAAGCAATGAATTCCAGTAACTTTTGGGAAGCTGGAAACAAGGCTTGGGGCTCCAGCTTGTTAAGTTTGCTCCTTCTGTGACACCTGAAGTACATCTTGTTTTAGCCAGGCCATCTTCTGTATCCCCACTGTCTGGCATCGTGCTTCCACCCCAGTAATCACTCCTCCTATACCCTGTCTGCCCTTTATTATATTATTCCCTCCTTGGAATTGCTCATTTTTCTTCTGAAGTTGCACAACAAAGACTCCGAAATACGGGTTTGGAAGATTGATTGATTTTTTTAACTCCAGCAAAGCTGATAACCACCATTTCAGAGAGTGGGCCCTTTTTCTTTCCCTGTTCTGGTTCCTCACAGAGCCTTGCCTCTCCCCTCACACCTGCACCTCCCGGAGCGCTGCCATTTCCCGGCAGCAGGTTTGGTGATGGAGCAGGTCCCTCCCGCTGCTCTTCACCTCCCGCTGCCTTCCCTGGGCGAGCTTCCAGCACGAGGCCTAACGGATACGGTTATCTTCTGGTAAGATTAAAAAAGCCACAGAGCCTGGAAAGGCACTGGTATTTTATTCTCAACTTTACGGGTGTAAAGGTGTTTTTTTTTTTTTCAGCTCTTGGGTCTGTATTTCTCCGCCTGTTTTCTCCAGTTGTTTTAATTGCTTGTTTCTGCCCTCACGTCCGGCTGTTTTCCTCTCTTACTGGACACAGCTTCCAGTATCCATTCTGCCTTCCACTAGGGCCGATGGCGCCGGTCCCCGCGGGTGGCGGGGCAGGCGGAGATCGCAGCGCCGCTCGGCCGAGGCGGGAGAAGCCGCCGCTCGCCCCGGGGCACGGCCATTACAGCCGCCGGCTTCGGCAGCAGCCGCCCTTCCCCGGAGACCGCCCGCCTGACGGTGCTCGCGGCCGCCGGCTGCCTCGGGCGCACGCGCCGGCCGGGCCGGGCGCTGAGGGGACGGTCGGCTCCGACAAGGCGGGAACGGGCGGACGAACGTCTCCTCGCGCCTGGCCCCGCGGCTGCGCGCCCGAAGGCTCCCTCAGCGCCCGCCGGGATGGCGCGGCTGGTGGCACCGCCGCCTCGGCAGGTGTGGTGGGGTCCTGCGGGGCGGGGGGCGGGCGGGCCGGCTTCCCTCCCAGGGCCCGGGTGGGCGGCGGGGCCCGCCGGTGCGGGGTCGGCCGAAGTACGGGGCGCTCTGCCCTGGTCCGCCGGCCGCGACCCCCTCAGACCCCGCCCGCGGCCTCGGACCTGCCGGGCTCGGCTCTTGGAGCCCCTGGGAGCTTGGCTGTCCTCACCCACCGCCCTGGGCAGAGGCTGTCCCTCAGCGAATTCATCTTTGTTGTGGTGGAAGTGGCGGACATAACTAGCCTTTCCTTTCCTCACTGTCTGGGGACTGTGAACCTGATTGAGGTGTTACCTTCACCTGTGCATCCACCATCTTCTTTCAGCTCCTCAGGGCAGCTGCAGGGCCTGCCCCTCACCTGCCCCTCACCTGCCCCCTTGCCATCTCGGCCTCCCTGAGGTGGTTGGTTCGTAGTCTTTTGGTGCTTGTACTCCTTCTGCTCTCTGCAGCTTTCACAGTTTGCTGCTGTTCCCAAATGGGTGCATTTTAGGTCAGTTTTGGGACACGTTCCCAAAATGGTGTCAGCAGGATTATGGCCGTGGCTGAGGAGACTGGCTGTTCTCTGTTGGCTGCCGCCTGAGCTGACTGATGGCAGCAGCAGGATGAGCCATCCCTCAGCAGATTTGCTTTCTGAAGTGAAAGCCTGTCTGGTTTAAAACCTCTGATTCATCAAGGGAAAAAACAAACAGGTCAGGCTCAAGGGCTCAGAAACACTCAAATGCAGTAGAAGTTGCATGAGCCTCATTGCAGGAATCAGTGAAAAGTGCTACTGGATTCTTTAAAACTGTCTTGTAGGTGATGGCTGCTGCCATTGAGTCTGCAAGCTTTGAGGAGGAACAGCTTCCTAATAAGAGAGAAAGTATGATCTGGAAGCCCAGAAAAGGTAAGTCTAAACTATTAGGGTGAAACAAAGCAGACAGTAACAAAACTTACACTCTGCTCGAGGAAGTATACTTAAAATTCTCTGGTGATCCATGGGAGATGTTTCTTGAGGTGCTACACCGAATTATTTCCATGTAGATATCTATGTGTGCTTAGGTGCAAGAGTAATTAATCATTACTACTAAAAAAACTGCTATGAACTTTTTTTTTTTTGTAAACTAGAGCTGTGGTTTTTCAACATACTTATTTTTTAAAAATACCAGCAGGTGGATGTGGTGAAACAAGACTGATGGATCCTATGCCCTAGTTTAAAGTTATTTTCCAATAAGAGTCTGTGGGAAATCCTGACTTTGGCTAATGTTGTGATGCAAGCCTATGTATGATGTTCCCAAGCATATTAAATATGTAAGGAATCACATATATTATAATTAGATTAGTAGTCACAAAGTGTATTAGTATACCTGGCTGAATTATTGCATGCTAAGGGTTTAATTGTTTCTGTTTAATTCCTAAGTATCTCTGTTGTCTTTTTCTATTGTTTTTAGAATGTTTGCTGAAGAACATTCCAAATGTCCTTGATAGTGAGCCTGAAGAAAGTGAATTCTCTGATATCTCTCAAAATGAGAATGATGTTAGTGGCTCTCCTGTTGACTGTGTCCGTATACATTCTGACCTGGAAGACTTAGATGATGATGTCTCCGGTATGCCTGAGGCTGTAACTTTTCTAGAGCTGCAGACTGCTTCTGTGTACAAAATAGAGGAGGACTGGGATAAAGAACTGGAGGAATCTGAATGTAATCCTTATGGTGAGTACAAATTTATTTGTGCTTCACTTGAGTTTTGGTTAGTATGTGATTGGAGGTAGATGATTTGCAGGAGAATATGTTTGAATAACTCCATGTTCCATTTTGGGAAGCAATTTTTTTGTTGTTGGTAACCTCATGGACTTGTAATGCATAATTTTGTTGTCAAATACAGGATTTAAAGGCAGTGTTATGAAGTTCACATGAAACTCATGCTTAAGTAATTGAATTCTTAGGGAGTGGAACTATAGGGAGAAGAATTGTATGCGTGTATTGAGTTTCTCTGGAGAAGGTAGGTCTCAGTAGTATATCTTTGTTATTCTGAAACAGAAGAGAAAGGTACATGGAGTGCAGGAATGTAACTTTTTAGTGTAAAAGGAGTTCTTCCTTTGCTCCAAGAAATTTTATCCAGACTGTAGACTGTAATGTCCCTCTAGAGCATGGAGTTCTTTGGAGGGGAGCAGTACAAGCAATTAGTTTCTGAGTATGGTTTGTTGTTGCTTTTGCTCTAGGGTTTTTTGTTTGTGTTTTTTTGGTGGTAGGATTTTTTTTAGTTGTTTGGTTGGGTTTTTTCAAGCTTGATCCTTTTAAATGCGAGTGTTTTTACAGGTGTTATTCTCATGTTGAACTGAGAGTCTCAGTCTTCCATTTGCCAGGTTGGATGTTAGGATAGAAGTGGTTGGAGTTTATCCAGCAGTGGTGACCTGCTGTGTCTTTGTTGATGCAGAATAGTACCATTCATGTTTTCTTCTAATTAATGTGTATCTTGTAATTAATACAAACGCATCTTTCTTTGCTTAGGAAATATCAATTCTCTGTTCATTTTCATTCCATAAATGGCTGTTGTATTAAAGTTGCGTTGAAGGAAGTTGGAATGATTTTGCAGCCTTCCTATAAAATCATTCTGATTTTAAAATGAAAATGCAGAAGTGCTTTTTCACGTTAGGTAATCTGAGAAAAAGACTCTTTCTTTTTTGGATGTTTCCCTCTCTTCCATCCTGGGTTTGCCTTTTAATCTCTCATATGCTCAAATTTATGGAATGTTTTGTCATTATTTTTATTTTGTTCTACTGGAACTGTCACAAGTTCTCTTCCTGTATTTAACTAACTCATCCCTATCTGTAGCTTATGCTCTTCAAATCCTGACAAACTAAGGAAGCTGTGATTATGGGATTCAGGTGCTTGTGAAGGATACTGAGTACAAGTGCCCGAGTTGTTAACTGCTACAAATAAAAAACATGCTTGCTTGATCATTTTATGACTTTTAAAAAATGCTTGCTTTGATGGCTTGTTTGGCAGTGCTACTGGAAGGCTGACACGTGAATATAGTGTGTTGCATCCTCTGCTACCCCATACTCTGGGCTTTTCATTTGTTCAGTCCTTTCAGTGCTTGCTGGCTAGAAATCTTTTGCTTCTGCTAAAGGACTTTGCCCTATTTTTGTGCTAGGTTGGTTAAATAATTGGCTTATTAGGCTTAATTCTAGTCTTGTGGAAATGTTTTTCAGAACTTGCTCTTTCAGGACCCCACCCTTCCATTCTGTTCAGTGACCCAGTTCTTAAAGGGTTTGGAGGGTTCCTTATTGGGGTGTGGTTATGGAGACAGCAGGAAGGGGGAGGAGAAATAAAAGTAATGATTTCATGAGCCTTTTATGCTTGGAGAAAATGTAGAACTGCATGCATTGTAAGAGCTGTTGTTGGATGTTCTGAATCCAGGTATATCATTGAGCTTTTTGGAAAACTGTTTGGTCTCTGGTGCAAGAACCTTCCTTAAAATGAAGATGTTACAAAATTCAGCTTTCTGTTTGCTTTGTTTGTAGGTCTAATTCACGAGTGCCGGCAGATCAAATTGAAATACTTAACTGGAAGATGGGGTAGACCTACAAAACAATCTGCTACACCATACCACTAGTTTTCTAAGTGTCTCCCATGGTTTAAATCTTTTCTTTGATCTTTTTTAGATGCTGGTGATCTCTACTGTGGAAGCTTTCAGGAAAATAATCTTTTGACCTCATACTCATGGCGAGAGGATTTGTTTTACAACCCCAGCTGTCACCATGCAGCTTGCGTTGCTTTTACACCACCAGTTAGAATGACTGAGCCTGGCCAGTTTGATGATGCTGATGAATGAGGTTGACCCTGGTCAGAACTAAGTTTGGCTTCTGAGTTGGATTATGTTCTTCACTGGTTGAATCGTTTCAAGTCCTTTGGCTTGCTTGCAGACTTCTGCATAAGGCCAGAAACGCTACACCATCTCCCAAGTTTTGCTTAGACCACTACTGAGCTGCTTATAAATTGACCATGTTTGACCTCTGGAAATGAGAGTGCAGGTGCTAGCTGTAAGGAGTCAATACATTTCTGGACTTTTTGTTTCTATTATATAGATTTATATTGTTGCTAACGAATTGCTTGAGAGGAAGTATTTAACTTCTAAACTTCAGCTTGTTTGCCAAGCTTTGCCGGTTTTGACATGCTGATCCTTGTGTGTCTATGTCATTTTTAGTTTTCTTTCCTTTTCATTTGATGCTGTCAAATTGGTTCACAAAGCTTTAAAAACTCTTCTTCCTTCCAGCTTCTCTGTTGTATTTCTATGTTGCAGTTTGTGATTCCAGATCTAATACTGGTGTTTAACAAAATTAGCCATGACAAATACGGAATGAGTGGTTGTGTTTTCATTTTATGTTTCAGTATAAGGGGATTACAAATACGTGATACACATTTTGCAAATACAGACGTGGACATACGCTAGGGCCTGCTGCATCCAATGACAACGCTGAGTGCTTAAAACTCTCTCCTAGCAAAGGTTTCTTCATATCTGACTTTCTTGTATTTGGGCATAGAATCATAGAATCATTGAGGTTGGAAGAGACCCTTGGGATCATCGAGTCCAACCATCTCCCCTACTCTACAAAGTCCTCCCCTACACCATGTCCCTCAGCACTGCATCTAAATGGCCCTTAAACACAGCCAGGGATGGGGACTCCACCCCCTCCCTGGGCAGCCTGTTCCAATGCCCGACCACTCTTTCAGTGAAAAATTCCTTCCTAATGTTCAATCTAAACCTCCCCTGTTGGAGCTTGAAGCCGGCATATTATCCTTCAGTCTCACAGTTGGCTTTGTAATGTTCTCATGCAATACCAGATGTGTAATCACGAAGCAAATATCTATGCTTATATAGTGTCTTGCAGTATATAGGCTCTGTGTCCTGCAAACAGTAGTGAATTAAGGTTCCTGATACTGCTGATAAGTTTTTGTTGTTATTTATGTTGTGGCAAATGAGGAGATGGGAGCACAAAATACCTCCATAACGTCTCTAAGAATAACCATATCCTTCTAGCTTTTGCTTTGGAGTTTAAAAGAAGTGTTCTCAAATGAAGCATGTAAGTGGATTGAATGGCTGATCACTTGAGTAACAATCTTCTACTAATGCTCGTGTTTCATTAATTACTTCTCTTGAGAGAGATTTTGATGGCTTTGTGTTTTGACACAGACTTATACTGGAGCACAGGACCCATGTGTGTTTATCCTCAGGAGAGGAGGTAACAGTTATTACTGGAAGACTTTTTTTAAATTATTTTTTTATAAATCCGCTAGTGTATGAGACTGAAATAATTGACGCATTAGTTTGGAAGGAGGAAGTGAGTGACACAGTGATATTTGCTTAATCTTTTCCGTGAGAGCAGAGGAGGACGAGTGCTTGGAAGAATCTTTCCTTCTGGTACTTTGCAGTTCCTGGTTACATCTTACTACCAGGCAAGCAGTCGAAGTAAGGAGTGAAAGCCTGGTGGTAAGGTTGCAAGAAAGAGGGCCTGTTCTTTTATTCCTGTATGATGGAGTGATCCAGGGATTAGTATTTCTATCAAAACTTACCTTGGCATGTCTCCAGAACACATACCTACAGCAGAAAGCACAGTCTAACAGACTGCTCTTTCCCTGCACGGAAAGAAAGCCCGAGCTGTGCTCTCTAAGGCATTGGGGGTGGGTTTTGTTCTGTGGAGTGCTGTGTATAAGAGAGAGAGTGCAGCTCTTTGAGTCCTGCATTAGTTAGGGCATGCATTTATCTCCCTGGAATAGAAGTGAGAATTGACTATGCCCAGCTCATCAGGTTTGGATATATAGTGACTTTCTGAGAAAACAGGAATGAAAATCAGAGCACGGCTATAACTGACTCATCGACTGGAGTGAAATTGTTGATTTGCATTTACAAATGCAATATTAGTAAGTATGAATTGAGTACAGATTACTGTTGAAATAACAATGCAGCAGCAAGTTGTAAAGGTTCTTCTGAAAAAACACAGGTTATTTGCGAGCCCATTTATGGCTTCCCAGGGTTCAGCTGTAGGCGGCAATGCCCAACGCCGCCCTGCAGGGGGCAGCAAAACGTTGTCTTCCCTGCTCAGCGTATTTCCATCTGGCACTAAGTCTCATCAGCAAGTGTCAGATCCCCGCGCTGGATTTCTAACGGTGATAGCAATTGAGATCTGTGTTCTGTGTAGCCCTGTTGTTCCCCAGTGAGACTGATTCATGGCCCTGATTAGTTTCTCATTTTTTTTAATTTCACTCTGAAGTTACACTTGCTGGACTGAAAAATTTCTCCCGTGGCTGAGGAAAGAAAACCGCTTGACTTTGGGCTTAATATATTTTTTACTATGCTTGTGGGAGATGTCTCCCTGTATTTAATAAAGATGAAACTAACAGAATTCTGTGGAAGAAAACCCGTCTTTTTTAGAATTGTTTTAAAAGGATAACTAAAAAGTCTTTATAACATCAATTAGGATGATTTTCTTCCTGTATGGTTCTGAAATTCCTTTATACTGAAGTCTTCAAGCCATTTCCTACGCACTCTATAAATCAAGTTTGTTTTTTCAGCCTGTATCTTTGATTGCAATCAGTCTTATCTATCTTGACCGTCTTGTTAAATTGTCTTTAGTGGGTGTTTTGCTAAGCTGTATGTATTTTAAATGATTGTAAACTTAAAAGATTTGGGTTTAGTTTCCCTTTAAGGTTAAAATTGACACCACCCCCACCAGCTTTGGAAAAAATGGCATCAGGATTTTACAGCAGAGATGCATTGCTCTCTCTAGGGATATGTTGGCAAATGTAACTTTGTTCGTCTTGGCCCTGCTTGTTAGGGAAGGGGCTTAATGTAAAGCTTGATCTGAATGCTCTCAAACTTCAGTGGGATTAGAAAACCAGATGCAGACATCTCAGAAGGCATCTCCCTGGAAGGATTTGAAACCAAGCTCACGGATTCCAATGTTTCTGCACTACAGAGTGTTTCAAATTCCATTATGAATCTTGCACTGAGCCTGTTTTGTGTTGACACAAGCATGTCATTCTAGGCAAGAATACGTTGCAATTAAAAGCAACATAAGGTAATACATGAGCCAACAATTCAAGCCAAGAGTGTCAGCCCTTCAGCCTGCTCAAATTATTGGAGGGAAAAGAGTCCCATTACAGGACTGAGAGTGTACTCATACAAGAAACACACTGGCAGTAGATAAATCAGTTGGAAAATTATCAGAAGTGTCAAAGATTTCTCAGTTAAATGTGCATATGTCTCTAACAAGCTTTCCCCATTCCATACCTACAGTATAAGATACCATTCAAAGGACAGAAGGCTCTTCTGCAGGTTAATATCTTGCTGGGTTTATATTGTGGGGGAGGCTTAGCAGTGTGGTATAATATGGTGACTCAGGAGGAGACTTGGGAGAGGCTACAACTCTGAAGTTGCCCTTGCTTTTTGTCTCATCTCCCTATTTTACAGGTAGAGATAATGATGCCAGCTTGTGTGTAAAGTACTTCAAATTCTCTGAGCAAGAAATTTTGTCTAATTAGTGGTGTTTAAAAAACCAAACCAAAACAGAGTTTTGCATTTTCTTTGAACAGGCCAGCAAAGAAATGAAAACTTGTTTTGGGTGCATCTGTTGTTTCCTTTGAGACCTACAGGGAATGATTTGCAAGAGGAAATAATACAAGGAAATGTGTTCATATTTCCTGTTGATAAGGTACAGCATTTAATTCATACATCAGATTGAGAGAGTGGTTTCTTGCTCTTATATAACCACAAAATCCAGCTCAGTTTAGTGTCTTGTAAAGACACTGCTGCTTGGCTTGTTATTCTATCTCATCTTTTAACTACCGTGCTTTCATTCTTAAGCAGAGAAAACGCCTCCGCTATTGGGGGGACTATGTGAATAATTTCACAGACTAAAAGAAAAATGCTGATGGCAGCAGCTCATCCCGACCATCTGCTGCTTCCAAGGACACCAGTGTAAATCCCATTGTAACAAAGGTTGTTTTGTGAAGCTAGTGGGTAAGTCTCTGTAGGCACGGGGAAGGAACTTGTGGTAGTTACCCTCCGTGGTTCTGTACGGCAAACATAGACATCGGAGGCTCAGGTATTAGAGGATAAAATTGTGGTGGAGTTGTTAGTCCTGGGAGTACCAGCTGCTCATAGCACAGCTTCCTAGCTTGGCAGAAGAGACTGTAACCTAATAAAAAAAGCTGCAAAGCACACAACCCTAATAATTGTTTTCAGTGATGGAAACAGCTTCCTTCAAGCATTTGGAAGAGATCCTCAGCTGGTATAAACTGTTGCAGCTCATTACCCAAACAGAATCTCTGTCCCCATGTTATCCCCCTTTGCAATGCCTGTGTCATCTCTGAGCTAAAGCTCCTGTTCAGTGTTTCGTTATTGCTGTGGATTTTAGTTCTTAATATAATGGGTTTTCTTTACATTAATTGTTACTCTGTTGACCCTCACAGAGCAGAAAACATGAATGTGGCTCAATGGCTGTATTTGTTTCTTTGCAGGTTGTTTTGGTTTGGGTGTTTTTTTTCCCACATCAAGGATAGCTAATTTCAGGACATGTAACAGAAATCAGCCTAGGAAAGTTAACTTCTTGTAATTCAACAAGTCTTGATTCTCTGATCTGAGTTATTTTAATTAAATCTCTTCTATCTGCCTGCAACTTCTGCATTTAGACCTGGAAAATCTTTTCATTGTATGATGCAGGAATTTAAGACTGAGTTGTATACATAAGTTCTATGTATTTGTTTATGAGCCTGAGGTCTCAGTTTGTTTTATTTCCCTCAAGGGGAAGTACCAGTTAATTCTGCTCAGTCCTTTTTGAGCTATTGGTCCTTAGTAAAATTTACATTGAGGAACACATTTTCTGTGAGATCTGGGGTACCAGAGAATGCCAAGTTCTTATTGTGGTGCTTTGCAATTTTAATCAGTGTAGGTATTGCAGACTCTCATTACGATGTTAAAGGAGATTTTTAGTATTTCTGTCTCTACCTCAGGAGCTACTCCAGAACTTTCACATTCTCACTGAGGAGTTCCCTCAGTTAATTAACACATACTAGAAAATATTTTGTTGTTTTTTTAATTATTTGATCACAGATAAAGTAATATCATTTCATCTGTAATCTTTGTCCAGACACCTTATGGGTTTATGGTAAATGTTTAACATTGTAATGTAGAATTGGCTGGCTACAGTCGGCTGGGAATTGTGTAATTCTTTCTCCCGCTGTACGTGTTACATGCTCAAATGCTTCTGGGGAAGTAAATAGGTGTGACAGAGTCATTAAACAGGACCTATACTCCACAGCAGTGACTGTAACCTCCTTTTATGCAACTGGAGTTCCA